GAAGGGAAGGTCATACTGGTTGTGACTTGACGGTTAATGCACGATTTTGGCCTACGAGGGCAGTATTGGTGAAAGAAAATTCTCGAGGCTTTCTGGAGGAGACACCGAAATCCGAGCATGAATAACAAGAATGAATGCATCAACATAACTGGTGACCTCTTGCCTTACATCCCTCTGTGTGAGCTTTGATAGTGAGACTGATACGCATCACGTCACGATACTATAAATAGGTCGTGGTTGACAGGGCTGTCTCAATTGCTCTTTCGTCACGAAAATTGAGCAACTGCTCGGTATTGGTGGAATTGACGTGAGTGACTTGTCGGAGTCGCTTATTAATTGTGAGTTCATCAGCCTGAATTGCAACTAGTTAAGAGCTGTTCTACGTCAAGCGTGATGGGTAACACTCTAAAGTTGCGATACGCTTTCAGGCCTTCGATAACGAGTTAGTCGAAACGTCAGGCGAATAAAGATTCCACCATTAAAAAACCTGGTTGGCAGAGAAGCACTGACTAATAACAGTAAAATTGCCCAGGTTTCAAGAAAGGCGAACATGGAGATCCAAAACTCTGTTTGAAAACGTTCCAGAATGCGGAGATAATGGTAAGGGGCAGCTAAAAGAAGAGTTGTCAAACTTTTATAGTGGGAAGTTTCCGCACTGAGACGGGGCTAATAACTGTGTTGAAATGAAATGGATGAGTGGATGCCCTCAGAGCGGCCCTACTGTTCGAATCTAAAAGAACTATTTCATTTTAATACACCGCACATTCTGCTGTATGAATCCATCGAAGATAAGCGGTCGCAGGCAGCCAATGCCAGCATTAACGTGCAGAGCTCAATCAACTGGTAGAAAGTATAATTGTAATTGCAGGCAAAGATACAGAAACATGAAGCGTTCGAGGCGGAAGTGCAGGCTCATGCAAAAACCATTAGCAACCTCGATAAAACTGGAAATGCCATGATTCATCACGGTCATTTCGCAAGTGAGGTAATCAAGGTACGTGTTATTTCGGTACAAATGACGTTTAAAATTCGTTCGTAGTTTTGATCTCTCTAGAAACGCCTCGAAGAGCTTCACGCTTTGTGGGACAAACTCTTCTTCAAACTGAAAGATAAAGGCCTTAAGCTTCAACAGGCACTGAAGCTACTACAATTCATTCGACAATGTGACGAACTGCTTTACTGGATTAGGGATAAGGTGGGTCATCTGTGCTAGTCGATCCAAATTAGCTTTTTCTAATTTTTGAGATTTCGAATTTAGGAGGCATACGTGACTGCCGAAGACATGGGCATGGATTTGGAGCACGTTGAAGTACTTCAGCGAAAATTCGAAGATTTTTTGAAAGAGCTAGGGAATCATCATTATCGTATCAGCGAGATCAACCAAGCTGCTGACAAGCTTGTAGAAGATGGTCACGCTGAGCATGACCAGATTTATAAGGTTTATTTGCTTTTACTCATAGTTCATCAGTTAGCATCCGATGGAAGTGCTCTGATAAAAATATGTCCCACTTTTAGAAACGAGACGAGGTGAATGAGGCTTGGCATCGTTTGAATACACTTGCAGCCAACAGGAAGGAATGTCTCTTTGGGGCTCATCAAGTGCAACGCTTCAATCGTGACGCCGATGAAACCCTAGCTTGGATCGCAGAGAAGGTTTTTTCAATCATGATAGCATTTGCTCACTTGGTTTTCTTGAAGCAAATCCTTGTTAGCGTTTTTTCATTACTACTGCTCATAAGTACATTCTTATGAAGGACGCCACTTTGTCGAGCGATGATTACGGCCGTGACCTTAACAACGTTCAAGCCCTGCAACGCAAGCATGAGGGCACAGAAAGAGATCTGGCTGCTCTCGAAGGAAAGATGCATCAATTGGAAAAGGTTGGGAGCTCGAGAACTCGGAGGGGCAGAACAATGGGAACGACATTCCACTGTTCCACTCAAACTAACAATTACAGGAGTCTGCCAGACTTTCAGAAACGCATCCGGATCGCGCTGATGCAATCGACGCAAAGATGCGTGAGGCCACCGGGCAGTGGAACGCTCTCAAAAAAAAGGCTCAGTCCCGTAAGGAAGGCCTTGATCGCAGTTTACAATTGCATCGCTTTCTTGCTGATTACAGGTGAAAACTTCGTTCCCCGTTACTGTTTTGCTGATGCAGATGTTTTCCGAACTGACTTAGTGTTGTAGAGATTTATGCTCATGGATCAATGACATGAAGGCTGTTATCTCGGCCGATGAGTTGGCTAAGGATGTTGCAGGTGCCGAAGCACTGTTGGAGAGCCACCAAGAGCACAAAGTTCATCAGCATCAGCAGTTAAGAGAGAGAAGAAATACATGTTTTCGCATTTCAGGGAGAAATTGATGCTCGAGAAGATAGCTTCAACCAGACAGCTTTTTCCGGTCAAAGTCTTCTTGATATGAGGATTCCAGAAAGCGAAGAGGTGAGTGGTCGAGTTTCGTGTTTTTCTCTACTAGAAAAATGTTGCCTGCTCAGGTACGTCTAAAGCTGGAACATCTTGCTCATGAGAAAGCTGCTCTGTTGGCCCTTTGGGAAGAACGTCGAATTTTGTACGAACAGTGCATGGATCTTCAACTATTCTATCGCGACACTGAACAGGCTGAGACATGGATGAATAAACAGGTTCGTTGCGACGCTGTAATTTCATTAAAAATTGAGATTTTCCTGTGGAATACTTGGTTTTCAGGAGGCTTTTCTCGCTAATCAGGACCTTGGTGACTCTCTTGATGCTGTTGAGTCACTCATCAAGAAGCACCAAGATTTTGAAAAGTCCCTTGCTGCCCAGGAAGAGAAAATTAATGCACTCGATGAGTTTGCCACGAAACTTATCCAAGTATCTGTTTTACCTCATCATTAGTTCCCAAGACAATGATATAGTTCCCCTTGTATCCAGGGTCAGCACTACGCCGCAGACGACGTTTCAAGAAGGCGTCAAGCCCTTCTTGACAGACGACGTCGTCTTTTGGACCATGCTGCTGATCGCGCTCGTCAGCTGCATGAGAACTACAAAAAGCAGACTTTCAACCGGTAAGTGTACTCGTTAAGCGATGTCCATTCATTAAATTTCATTGTACGGAACAATTGATGCTGTAGGGACTGTGACGAAATGGAGAGCTGGATCAAAGAGAAGCTGAAGACTGCTAAGGATGAGTCCTATCTCGATCCAACGAACATTCGCGGTAAACTTCAGAAGCACACTAATTTCGAACAAGAGCTCAAGGCCAATCGAAATCGTTTGGATGAGATCAACGACACAGGCGCTCAGATAATTGAGAGTGATCACCCTGAAGCTGGCGATGTAATTTAGTTACAAATTGAGGACCAGTTTTTGAGTTTCATCATGAATGTTTCAGGTTCACCGTCGTCTGCAAGATGTAGATAAGCTGTGGAATGAACTTGTGGATGCCACCAACAAGAAAGGGGCAAAACTTCGCGAAGCCGGCGACGAGCAACAGTTCAATCGCAATATTGAAGACGTAGAGTTATGGCTTAGCGAGCTTGAAGGACAGATTGCGTCTGAGGACTTTGGGAAAGATCTTGTATCGGTGCAGAATCTTCAAAAGAAGATTGCACTCCTCGAGAGCGATTATCTGGCACATCAAGATCGTGTGGATGGGATCAGGCTTTTGGTGGGTAGGGGTCCTTCGAGAGTCTTTGTATTGTATACTATTTTCTTTCTTTTCTATAGATGATGAGGGATGAAGAGTGCTAGCTAATTGGCTATTTTAGGCCAAGAAATTTGCTGACGATGAACATTTTAACGCTCCGGTAATAATTCGGAAACAGGAAGCTTTGCAGACACGTTTCCAGGTGTGCTACCAACTGATTGAGTTCTTTTAAAGTTCTGTCTAGGACTGTGGTTATCCTATTCGTTCTGCTTATTTTTGATGCTTCTAGTTATTTGTTATGTCGATCGGCCTTTTTTTTTTTAAGAACCTCCATGAACCCCTTGAAAAGAGGAAAAACAAGCTAGCTGAATCTCTTCAAGGTAATCAGCTGTTCCGAGACATTGAAGATGAACTAGCATGGATCCGAGAGAAAGAGCAGGTATCGTAGTCAGCCTTCAATTCATTACGCAGCTGATGGGTCTATGCTATTGCTACTGCTATTATGCCCCATCTAGCTTCTCTCATTATTGAGGATGACTTTGCCTTAAGTAATTGCTTTAGGTAGCTGGCTCTACCAACCGTGGTCGTGACTTGATTGGAGTCCAGAACCTTATCAAGAAACAACAGGCGCTCATAGCTGAGATTGCCAATCATGAGGGTCAAATTGATGGTGTCTGCAAGACAGCTGAAGACATGATACAACAAGTATTCAAGCTCGTTAATCATTGTTCTTCGCGTTTTATCTCCAGGCACTTTGTATTTTAGGGGCATTTTCTTGCTCCAGAGATTCGTGATAAGCTTGCACAACTCCGCGATAACTGGAGAATTTTGAAATCGAAGGCCGAGAAGCGACGTCTCGAGCTTGATGACTCTCTACAGGTGTCCTAATTGTGATCTCTCAAAATAAGATGGTCCTATATTATTCTTCCCCTCAGGCACACCAATACCTAGCTGATGCTAACGAAGCCGAGTCATGGATGACTGAAAAGGAACCAGTTGTCGGTTCCACTGACTATGGAAAAGACGAGGACTCAGCTGAGGCACTCCTTAAAAAACATCGAGCCTTGATGTCGGACCTGGATGCTTTCAGAGGAACCATTGATGACCTTAGGAAACAGGCAGCACAGTGCAAATATCAAGAACAACCAGTGGGACAACTTGGTACAAGCTCAGTTATCAATTTACGGCGTTTCACGTTGTTTGCTGTCACAACTAAAATTTCAAGGTCGCGATTGTGTTCTTGCGCTCTATGACTACCTGGAAAAATCCCCCCGTGAGGTGTCCATGAAGAAAGGCGATGTTCTCACTCTTTTGAATGCCTCGAACAAAGATTGGTGGAAGGTGGGTAACGATATATGTACTGGTTTCTTACGTACATACATACATACATAATACATACATACATATACATATACATAAAAGAAAAAACATAAATATATATACATAAACATATATACAATATACACATACATATATATACACATGCATATATACATATACATATATATCAGGTGTGTGCATTAATTTTCACCGTTTTTTTGCGTTTTAAAAAACATTTATTGCAAAATTAAAACAAAATGTACATTAACCAAAGTGTTGCCCATCGTTAGCTACAACTTCTTGCCATCTTTCTGGTATCTTGTTGACTCCGGGTTTAAAAAAGTCCTCATCTTTTGAGGCAATCCTGTTATCCACCCATTTTCGCACTTCTTTTGCATTCCGGAAGCGTGTATCTGCCAAACTGACTTCCATGGACCGGAATAGGTGGTAATCAGAAAGAGCAA